AACTGGTTTTTCCACCCAGTTTCTTTTTCAGATAAAACTTCTTGTAAATTCTTAACTTCTGATGTCAGTTCATTGATTTTGGCTGTGAGTAATTTCTCGTTGGCCTTACTCTGGTCTAATTTAGCCTTCAACTCTGTAAGATTCATCTCACGAGCCATTTTAACTGATGACTTAAGCAGTGGTAAGTGGTTCCTGTAGAGAGCTGTGATGTGATCCGTTTCGTACAACGACCTTAACAGACTGAAGTCTTCTTTCTGATGACGCAACAAAGTAATGCGATAGCTCTTTGATGACGTCACGCTTACGTACGTACGTCCGCGCACGTGCGTGGCGGGGGGAGGGGGGGGGTGGAACTGCAAGTAGATGCAGCTGTTTGCATCAGCGGGGTTGTTGTTTCCGCATCACGTGACCTGGACGAGCCTTTTGTTTACGTTTTAATCCGTGGTTATTGTGTGTGTGTGTGTGTGTGTGTGTGTGTGTGTGTGTGTGTGTGTGTGTGTGTGCGCACGCACGTGTGTTTAGTAAGTAGGAGCAGAGTCGGGTAGCAACAGAGAAGTGGACATGAGTAACTTCAGAAGTGAAAGTGTAAGTCAGAGGAACTCACGCACCTGCAGACCTTCTACCTCCGACTAAAACAAACTCAGGCCGACTTTTTCTATCTTTTCATTAACAGTTATTAGTGGACTCCTTCAAAAAGCAGCTGAAAACTGTTCAACCTGGCTTTTGCTCGACCTTCAAGTGACATATGTAGATTTTAACTTTGACTTTGTAGAGATATGGGTCTCTGTGAGTTGAGAGGGTGCTCGCTACACAACCACAAAGGTGGAGCTGCACCAGAGTCAGCCCCGCCCATCACGCAAACAGCAAAAAAAGATTTTAACAGGTGTTGGTTTGACTCCTCCTCCACAGACGATTAGTCAAATCCTAAACAAGGATGATACCCAAGAGACAAATGCACAATCTGAGTGTTTTATGTTGCACTCAGTTCAAGTTGAGCCAGTAAAAAAACATGGCTAAGGTCAAAGTTTATTGAAGATATCAACACGACTTTAGTGCACTACACTTTTTAAAAAACCTGAAATGCCACCAAAATTCACAATGAACAGCAACACATTTTACCATAAGATCTGTTTTATTTTTGCTTCAATATTATTTGTTGTGCCTTTATGTTTAATAAAAATGTTGTCATCTCATTGCTCGTGAGCTAAAGTATATCTTATCACATGATCAGAAACCTCATTCATGCTCCTGGGCTGACTCACTCTTGGAGAAACTTTTTTCTTCCATCATCAGCGTGGGATTTAGATTTCTATCAGGATCCTTCGAGCAGCCTCTCGTTAAGCCCCACTTGAAGTTGGTCTTTGTCGTTGTGTTTTTAAGTCTGTAAAAGAGGAAAACGGTCTCCCAAGTTTTTATTTGATAGATGTATTTTTTTTTTCTGAACAAGACCAAACATTGGCAGGAAGGGATTTTGATCGTTTACAGGTAGGAAATCTATGAAATATATATATTTTTGCAAGTGATATTTCATGCAAGAAAAAACATCAGTAATACATTTCATTATAACATTTTGGTCACTTTTCATTTTTTATTGTTTATTTTAATCTGTCGTGCAATTTTAATGCACAGTCAGGAAATTTCAAAGACTTGTGGAATCCATACAATGAAAATGCAGTTTTCCAGTTAGTATAGTTCAAGAGAGCATTTGTAATGTAAGCACTTTGTAATGGATCTTTATATTCCAGCTTAAGTTCACTTATTGCAGAGTTGTTAGATGAGAACACAGTAATCACGTGTATTGCTACGTTGAGATTGGGCACCATCTGCTGGTTCAAAGCATTGTTACAGTCTTAAAATATGAAAAAGATGCACAAAATCTTAATATGTTAGTTGTTTGATTGTCAAATAAATCAGGAATTACAATGAAAAATATAATTTTTTTTATTGTTTGGGTTTAAATGCTCCCAGACTGATTAGATATTTTTGTTTATTTGTTCTGCCTGTTATACTTTTCTTCATTTTAGTTTTTGTCTTCTCTTTATAGCCTAAAATAAACCAAAATTTTGTTGAAAATGTCATTTTTGTTGCATATTTTATTGTTGATTAATTTTAAATGTGGTCAGACACATAGGGTCGGACACATGTTCTGTATATTTTACCCAGGTTGATGGAGTGGAACGATTTTCATTTGATCAAATATATTGATGACCAACTGGAAACAAACTTTTGCAATCCTTAAAAGTTATAGGACAGGTGACAATTCAGGTTTTTTTCAACCCCACTAACAGCTAGTGGTATCAAATTGAGACACAGTTGATTGAAATAATGTTTTATGGAATTTTGTTGTGAGGATTATTATTATGCATTTATTATTTATTCATTTTTTTGTCTTGAGTTTCTGGGTTTATTTGAAATGTGCAGTGGAGCAAAAAAGTAATTGACAGCCCCTGATTGTGCAAGGTGTCCCACTTAAAAAGATAAGAAATCTGTAATTTTCATCAAAGGCACACCTCAATTGTTAGACAGAATGTGAATAATCCATTTTAATGAATTTATTATATAATGGTGCAGAAAATAAGTACTTAGCACCATGAAACAAGCAAGAATCTTGGCCCTCACAGACCTGTAACTTCTTTTTTTAAGAACCTGTTTGATCTCCTTATCAGATACCTGTCCACATCTTCAAATAGAACAACTCTGATCTCCACAATTGCCAACACCAGAGAGCTGTCTAAGGACACCAGGCACAATATTGTGCATATGCACAAGACTGGGATGAGCCAATCTACAATAGGCAAGCAGGTTGGTGAGAGGAGATCAGCGGTTGGAGCAATTATTAGAAAATGGAATAAATGGCAATCTTCTTCGATCTGGGCTCCATGCAAGATCGCACTTCATGGAGTGCAAATGATTTTGAGAATGGTGAAGAAACAGCCCAGAACTACATGGAGCAAACTGGTCCTAAATGGAGCTACGACCACAGAAACAATAGTTACTATTTGCCCGGTGACGGCCCCAAATGATCACAGCTCTGGAGAAGATCTACATTGAAGAATGGGCCAAAATACCAGCTACAGTATGTGCGAACCTGGTGAATACCTCTGTCTTTAGAATAGAAAAATACAATAGAATAGACTTTATTAATCCTACAGTGGGGAAATTCACTTGCTACAGCAGCACAAAGACTCAGAGAAAAGGAAGAAGAAAATAATAAAAACACACTAAGCAAATAAGCTATTATTGTAACCTCCAACTAGAGGGCTGCATCGGGATTGGGTCCCACGGGACCCAACACAAATCTTGCAGGGGTGGGCGGTGTGAACTTTGCTGCGGGTGGGAACGGTCGACTAAAAGAAACAGTGCGGGATTGGGATGAGTATGATGGAATCGGCAACTGACGTTGAAAAGAAGCTGAAACAAGGTCTTTATGACACAAAAACCAAAGCAAGGCAAGTCAGACATTTGGAGGAGTTTCTCCGATTGTGTTAATATTTCTCATTCAGGTCTCTCTTAGAAAAGCGACCTCGATCACTGCCTGATTACAGAGGAGAAGAGAATATGAAACGGCCTTGATTTCATTAACCCTTTAAGCGCCACACAGTAGCTCCTTTATGTTTATTTTAAGAATTTTATAATTTAAGTAGCAAGGAGTTATTTGAAATCACATGCGCCGAGGCATCACCGGTCGTCCTGGTGATGCCTCGGCATTAAAGGGTTAAAAACTAAATGAAAACAAAGTGTGTCAGTCCTGACCAATTTGCTAAAAGACGTGCAGGATCCGATCAATTTGTTTTTCCCTCATTTACAGTCACGGAGATAACGGCGCGGTGCGCGGATCTGGTGGTAATCAAGTTAAATTTGATCTATTTCCAACAATTTTCACAAGAAAGCAGAACAGTTAAAAGCAGGGCTTGTGTTGTGTTGACCGGACAGTTCCCGTATTTGACCGTTTATTTTGACGGAGAAAGAATAGAAAGAATTACCCCGACGCATGCAGACGAACTGACATTTTATTCGTTATGCACATCGCAGATGTAGCTAAATCACTCAAGAAAAGATTCCCATCTGAAGATCTGAGCTGGACACTGCTCAGCGCAGCTCGCTGTCAGCACGTACTACATAAGGTGCACAGCGAGCTGAAGATGTGGAGAGGGGCTTGGAGTGCGTCGCAGAACCAGAGCGCATGCGGGAAGATTCCTCCCACTGAAGCGAGCGTTTTCCAAACCCGGTCTCTCAGAGAGACTTGTCACTTAGAAAATGTTCCCTGATTATGAAACTTTGGCTGAATAGCGCTTGTTCCTGTCTCCAATGTGGCGACACATCCAGGAGCCGTCTGAGGAGAAGCCCAGAATCTCACATCCTCTTCAGCTCAGAATGCGCTGATATGATTACGCACAAGCGTGACCCGTCAACCCGGTCTCACAGTAAGACCGGGTTGGTCCTGTTCAGGTTTACGCAGACAATCTTTACATTTAGAATTAACATACAGATATAAAATTAATTAAGTAAAGTATAAAGCTTTTTACTTAAATATCCATTCATTATTTTACAAGCACAGAGAGCCGCATCAGATGGATGGAAGAGCCGCGGGTTGCCGACCCCTGGTATAGCTTATATGACATGTTTTCTCCAGGACCAGAGAGGACACAAACTCAATACATCTCTTTTATTGTGAGGTAATAATTTCTCCAAGTTTTGCGGTTGCGGGCGGGAGTGTAACACACGCTTTGCGGTTGCGGGCGGTAATGGTCAGCAATTCAGCAGGAGCGGGATGAAGAAAACAGTCCCGCGCAGGGCTCTACCTCCAACAACTAAAAACAATGAATAAAAAGAAAACGTGGGTTTCCAGAATCGTGTATCACAAGGGACACAGACTTACTACTGTACAGCCGGTGTTTCACAATATTGAACACATACTGAATATTGCATTGACGTTATTGTGTAAAAGGGTAATGCCAGTAATAGGTAAACCAAGGAGTTAAACATTCTTACTGTAGAAGGGATGAAAGACCTACGGCAGCGTTCTGTTTTACATCTGGGATGTCTCAGCCTCCCACTGAAGGAGCTGTCCATGGTCTCCACAGTGGAATGCAAGTGGGTGGAAAGGGTTTTCCAAGATGGAGCTAATCTTCCCCAGCATCCTCCTTTCACACTTCTCCTTTAACTGAATCCAGTGGGCGGCCCAGAACCGAGCTGCCAAGGTTACGTTACAAAGTACTGAGGTGAACTGTCACGGCTGCAGGCAGCAATGTTGCCTATACTGTAGAATCTCTTAGTCTAGAGCAGTGGTTCCTAACCTGGGGGTCCCGACCCCCACAAGGGGGCGCCAAAGCCTCTCAGTGGGTCGCCAGGACCTCTCCACTTTAAGGGGTTAAAACTTAATTTATTACTTGTTTATAGCCTACATTTTGCTCACACTTTTTTCATGAGTGAAAAGTTTACTGATATTAAGACAGGAAATAATTAGTACAGAAAAAGTAACACACTTTTAAGAGCATGTTGCTCAGCTCACTGTTTTATTTTCAAGTGTCAAAAGTTCATTAAAGATAGGACTGGTTGATTAATCACAGCGTTTACAGTAAATAATCTAGTATAAACAGTAATATACACATTTAAGTACATTTTGCTCAGTGTATTTTTTATGAGTCAAACGTTTATTGAAAGGAATGATTGTTTTATCGGTGTTTACAAGAAACAATGTGTTCAGAAAAGTAATACAAACTGTCAAGCACATTATGCTCTGTTTGGTTTTGTTAATGACTTTGTTCTGTACTGGAGCCTACTATTACTGTTATCTATCGAATCAAAGCATATTAAAATGTGCTTGAACAATTTTATCGTTTCTTAATACTGTTTGTACTGGAAGAGAGAATGGGAGGGGGTCGTCAAAAATTTTACTGGTAAAAAACGGGTCCCTTGGGAAAAAGGTTGGGAACCACTGGTCTAGAGTATTGTTAAATTTAAAAAACAGCGCTTCTTTCCAACTAATATTAACTGTTTTATTTTTATTTTTTCAGAAGAATGGACCTTCCCCTCTTCATGAGGATGCTGCTTTATGCAGTAACCCTCAATGTTTTTGGTGCTTTTGGAATCAGTGAGCTGAACAACGGACACAGATGGACTTGCCAGAACCTGCCAGGTCTGCTAGTGACCGAAACAGCTGCTCTAAATGAAAGTTTGTTCAGAGGGACGGAGAAGAACGGGGTAGAAGGAGAAACAAGGGTATTTTGTGGCATTGAGTGTCAAAGTGCTCTACCACCAACTAACCAGGTGGAGCAAGAGAGGATTCTGGGATATGAGACGTTGTATGAAAATGGCTCACGTACGCACACAGACATCAGTTTGCAGTGTTTGGACAAGACACCAGCAGGAACTCCTGCAAGCGCAACAGTTTCAGTCCGCAGGAAACGGCAAGTTTATGGTGCAGATGGGCGATTTGTGATCTCAGATTCCAACTTCATCACCAACTACCCGTTTTCTACTGCGGTCCGTCTCTCCACAGGTTGTTCTGGAGTTCTGGTTTCTCCAAAACATGTGTTAACAGCAGCACATTGTATCCACGATGGCAGGGACTATTTAGAAAGTGCAAGACATCTTAAAGTAGGCTTGTTGCAGCTGAAAACAAGAAGAAGGAGGATGGGAAGGAAGCGAAGATGGAGACAAAGAGATGGTTTGAAACAAAACGACAAACAAGACAAGAGGGAAAATGAGGAGGGAGGTGAGAAGAATAATCTAGGAGTGAAAGAAAGAAGAGGGGGTGAAAAGAGAAGAGACAGACTGAGGAGAGGAGGAAAACAAGATGGAAAAAAGGAGTTTGAGAGAGGAGTGGGTGGAAAGAACAGTCTCAGTCGTATTCGCCGCAGCAATGGACCAGGAAAGCAGTCTGTCTTCCGTTGGTCTCGAGTTAAAAAAACCCAAATTCCTCAAGGATGGATCCACACCAACAATGTGACAGACGCTGTGTCCATCGACTACAATTACGCTCTCCTGGAGCTGAAACGACCAGTCAAGCAAAAGTTCATGGAGCTCGGCGTGGCGCCCAAGTCACCTCTGGCACGGATCCATTTCTCAGGCTACGACACAGACAAAAGCCTTCCTGATGGACATGCAGAGAAGAAGGTTATTTATCGTTTCTGCTCGGTTGTGAAGGAGTCTGGTGATTTGATGTACCAGCACTGTGATGCACGGCGTGGGGCGACGGGGGCAGGTGTTTATATCCGCCTCAGAAGGGATAAGGAACACGAGAGCGGGAAAGGAAAGTGGAAGAGGAGGGTGATTGGGGTGTTTACAGGTCATCAGTGGGTGGAGGCCGAGGGGGGCGAGCAGAGGGACTTTAATGTTGCGGTACGGATCACACCTTCTAAATATGCCCAGATTTGCCACTGGATTCACGGAGACCCAAGACTTTGTAAAGAGGTTTGATCTCAAAAAGCAGCAAGACAAAGATCTGTCCTTACCCTCAGAGAAAAACTAAAAAAAAATCCGAAATCATGCATTAAAAAATTTGAAAGAAAATAAAACAAACAGAATTAAAAGTTTATTTTAGGCGGAGAACTAAAAACTCCACAGTCCACCTGTTTTTACTTGTATAACTCAAACGGTTAAACCCTTTCAAATGTTTTCTATGGTGACTTTGACAAAGATGTAAATTCTATAACATTCTCTCTAATTTACAAGACTCAGGCAACAATGACGTAAAGCAACATTTTAAGATTTTTTTCATGTGTCATAAAACTTTTGTGCTGTAATAAAATCAAATTAAATCTTTCTCTGAAATTATTTGGGAGCTTGAAAAAGAAAGAGAGTTGTTGCTCTATTGCGTTTATGGGCTTAAGTAGAAAAAGGTAATGATGAGTCTTGAGAGATGTGTCAAAACTAGTCCACCAGGGGGGGCAAATATGGATGTTTTGGGGGTGTTTTATTGACACCATTTACATGAAGGGTTTTTGTATTTATTTATTTATTTATTTCCATCCATCTATTGTCTGAACCCGCTTTGTCCACGTAGGGTCGTGGGGGGAGCTGGTGCCTATCTCCAGGGGTCAATGGGCAATCAGGCGAAGTACACACACGACAAACAATCACACACACACTCACACCTAAGAACAATTTAGACAGACCAATTAACCTAACAGTCGTGTTTTTGGACCGTGGGAGGAAGCCGGAGTACCCGGAGAGAACCCACGCATGCACAGGGAGAACATGCAAACTCCATGCAGAAAGATCCCAGGCCGGGAAACGAACCCAGGACCTTCTTGCAGCAAGGCAACAGCTCTAACTACTGCATTACTGCGCAGTCCTATTTATTTATTCATTCATTCATTCATTCATTCATTCAATCATTCATTCATTCATTCATTCATTCATTCATTCATTCATTCATTCATCAGCTTATATTTTAGGCGGACAACACCACTTCAGATGAAACATCTTGTTTACGAGTCAGTCCTCCTACCATGGAGAAATAAAATACAAGAAGACAGAGGCAGTACACTGCAAAGGTGTAGCTACAAGTTCTGCTAAATTAACCTCTTTATGTCTATGTACCGTAATTTCTGGACTATAGAGTGCACCTCAATATAAGCCGCACCAACAAAAAAAAAGGTTTTCCACACACACACACGACGCACTCGAATACAAGCCGCGGCGCAGCAGCCACATGCAGGTCTCCGGCGCACAGCGCATGTACGGCCATGACGTAAGATAATCAGACAGAAAGACGCTACACGGAGGTTTTTCGTTGTTTTAATTCAACAAAACGAATTTTAAACACGGGTGAACGTGCCTGCAAGTGTAGAAAAGAAAACAGCGCTGATAGCATTCATATTTCTGGATGTTATAAAATAAAAACAGCACTGACACGTTATTACCGGTCATTTGCATGTTTAGAAGAAAAGAACAGCGCTGACACAGCATTAATAAGCCCTGGATGGTTAGAAAATAAAAACTGCACACAAAACATGCCTGGTTAGTAAATAAAACACTCTTGCCTACCAGAAGAAGTCATTCGCTCTCATCTTCCTCTTGCGCACTAAAGCCATTAAAGTCCTCTTCTTCAGTGTCGGAGTTGAACAGCCTCAGAAGAGCTTCGTCACATACCTTTTCTGTGGCGATGTCAGTGTCGCTGTCCGTGTTGCTGTCATCATCCCCGGGTGAAGCTGGCTTGAATGAGTTCTTCCCGCTGCCGTCTCCAGTGCCGAACCATGGATTCATTCATGCCAAGCTTACGTGCGGCAGCGCTGTAATCTTATCTTTACAGTATGCTCTAATGGGAAACAGGCTTCAACACAAACGGTTGTTTTCCGCTTGGTCCTAGAGCTCAACCAGTGTCAATTTAATATAGTGTAATGTTGCTTTTGGATGGTAAAAAGTGCAGGGGTCAAACCTTGACTTTGGAAAACGTGTGTGTGTGTGTGTGGGGGGGGGGGGGCATGTCCCCCCTGTCCCCCCCAAAATTACATCCATGAGTTCAAGTGATCAGAAGCTGTTTGCTTGTCATGCATGAAGTGTTGGCGTACCAGCATGGGACCAGGAAACCACCAAAGCTATAGCCTTAAAATAGATTCTTAATAAACCCATACATACGACACATATGATGCCCAAAGAGAGTAATTATAATATTTTGGACAAAATAGAAACAGTGGAGATAAAGTTCAGACCAAGAATATCTCATAGTGAATTTCTGTTTGCTCTACATAAAGGTTGATTTGAGTCAAGATGTTTTCTGACCATTCTTATGTTGTTCTGAACATTGTGGAAATGTCACCAACCACCGTAATAACACACCCTGTAAAGATGCCACATGAACGCTATTATCAAATTTAAAGGATGCTTGGACAGATGGACGGGTGGACGATAGGACCACTTTAGGGAAATTTATGACAAGCTGACGTTGTCAAATAGCAGTCCAACCCTCCTCAAGAATTAGGAGAAAGAATTTCAACAAGTATCTGTTATTTTTAATATTTTCATCAGTAAACACAAAAATATTTTTGCAAAATATCTTCATGTTGTAAATTATTTATAATCTGAATCCTTGGAAACAAAATTACTTGAAGGATGTGTAATAAACAATAACACATTTTGTTTCTCATTCTATGACAGAAATCACACCTTTAACTGGGATTTTAAATCAGAGTTCTGCAGTTGTTTTGACGTTTAAGCTTGGAGAAATCCTGTCATCCTCCTGCAGAGGTTGCCTTTTTTGACGTATAGTGCAAAAATTGTAAAACGCAAAAGCGTACTGGAGTGAATTCAGACATTTACAACTGCTACTGCTACAGAAATCCTCCTGGTGGACATGTACATTTTCAAAAGGTTCTCGTTTCTCAGACAAACACCTGCCACTCCTGCCAAATTTATAGTAAAACGGTAAAATGGCCTGTATTTGATATAGCGCCTTCTAGAGTCCTGGAACCCCCCCCCCCTCCCCCCCCCCCCCCCCTAGAGTCCTGGAACCCCCCAAGGTGCTTTACAACACAATCAGTCATTCACCCATTCACACACACATTCACAAGCTGGTGGGGATGAGCTACAATGTAGCCACAGCTGCTCTGGGGCGCACTGACAGAGGCGAGGCTGCCGAGCACTGGCGCCACCGGTCCCTCTGACCACCACCTGCAGGCAACGTGGGTTAAGGCCTAGTCCACACGTAGCCGGGTTTTTTTGAAAACGAATATCCGCCCCTCCAAAAACTTGCATCCACACCACCTCGTTTTAAAAAAAAACTCTGTCCACACGTACCCGGATAAATACGTTGTTAAGGACATGCCAGACCTGTAGGCGGCAGTACTTCCCCCGTTCTTAACCTCGTCCTTCGTCTGTGGTCTTCCGCAAGGAGCAGTAATTCCGCTTGCAAAAACAAACAAGCAGAAAGCGCTTGGACAGTTGATAAAGCGAGCGCAGCTCTGAGGGCATCTATGCTGTCGGCTAGTGTAAACACAGGTCGCACACGTGATGTCAGCATTTTTTTTTGTCGTGGAAAGTGGCGCTGCGGACCTTAAAACTCCGGTTTTGTCCGTCCACACGCAGACACCCAAAACGGAGAGAACGCAGATCTTCACTTTGGCCGGAGTTTTTAAAAAGATCCGTTTTCGTGTGAAAAAACTCCGTTTTCGTGTGGATGACAGGCCAAAACGTAGAAAAATATCTACGTTTTGGCAGATCCCCGGCTACGTGTGGACAGGGCCTAAGTGTCTTGCCCAAGGACACAACGACAGCGACAGACTGAGTGGGGCTTGAACCTGTAACCTTCCGATTACGGGGCGAGCACTTAACTCCTGTGCCACCGTCGCCCACAGTAGTAAAATATGGAATCTACTAGCCTGGCCAGACTCCTCCTCTGTTTGATTCTTTCTCTGTGCAGAATTAGACAGAGGAGTCTGGCAGGGCGGACTAGGAATCCACAATGATGCTGGTAACCAGTTGGGTTGTTTGGGGATAGTTGAAGACTCTTAAAAAAGAACAATCAGAAACAAAAGTAATGTTCGAGGTTTAAAACAAGCCAAACAAGCTGAAAGTGTCTGCATGACACACCAAAATGAAATAAAATTATCTGACAAATAAATAATAATATAGAATTCATGTTGCATGTTTGCAATTTTTCTATGATCTTTGTAAAAGCTAATACAGAAAGAAATGTTTATAAATCATTAATAATATTAGAGACAAGCTGCAAGTACAATATTAAAAAACATATCATTCCTTTACAAATTACAACCCTACAGTCGGGGTGTCGTCCGGAGTTTGGAGAATTCTTCGTTTCTGCTGAATTGGTTTCCTTTTGTGGCAAAAGGTTAAATAATGATGAGAGGTAAAGGTGTAGAGGAATGGATTCAGGCATTTGTTGAAAAATGTCACTGCTGCAACAATGTCCCATGTGTACTTGTACAATTTTAACATCCTTTCATTTTTGAGGCTTATGGCTGCCACACCCAGCACAGCTGTCACGTGATACGGAGTCCACAAAACAAAAAAGCTCACAACGATGCTGGAAATCAGTTTGGAAGTCTGTGGATTGTTGAAAAAGGTCGCCTGGGTGACCATCCTCTTCAGGCGGATGTATGAAAATGCCACAATACTAAATGAAGCAAATAATGTCACCGTCTCTGACATCAGCACGGCCGACCACTGGGCATCAGAAGCATACTGAGCTCGGCAGTCTACCCGCTGCTGATCCGGTACCAGCTGCTGAAACACCAAATTAGGAATGGACAGGATCAATGCAACCAGCCAGAGCAGAAGCAACACTAGTCTTGGTCGTACCTGTTGATATTTCTGCTGGTGCACGACCATCAGGTAGCGCTGAACGCTAAGTCCGGTTACAGTCAGCATGCTGCCATAAACACTGCTGTATCCAAAATACACCAAAACTTTACAGGACGCCAGGCCGGACGGCCAGCCGTAGAGTAAAGCATGAATCCACATAGGAATGGTCAGCAAACCAAGGAGGTCAGAGACGGCCAGATTCAACAGTAAACTCTGGCTCAGGCCAGACATACGCTGCCAGTTTGGCCTGAGAACAATTGCAGCGATGTTTCCAGGAACTCCAGTAATGAAGCAGAGGGACAAAACCACGACAGGGACCAGAACGTTGGAGGACCCGTCCGGATGGGTTTGAAGTCCTGAAAAGGATGAGAAGTTTGAAGTTCCCTCAGTGGAATTAAGCAGATCCATCGTGCGTCTTGCTGCTGACATTGTGCACTGATGGTGGTGAATGTGTAGCCCACACATATGTTACAGGGGAAGTGATGTCATGAGGTTTTTGGGTTTTGTTTTCTCAAACAGGAAATTTAAAAATAAAGGTGCTGATGCAAAGTAAGTGAGCTATTGTTAATACTTTACTGTTCTATAACAGGTTGCATTGACTTGAGTACTTTACAGTCAGCATTGCTTGTAAAAACTCTATTGGTAGATGCCCTCCTGGTGGTGTGCACGTTAGAAACATGACTTTGCTGGTCTGGAGCATCCAGGTGTGTGTCGACACACAGAAACAACTGATGCTGCTCTTTTATTTAAAACAGGAAAAATGTCATTTGCTAACAACTGGAGTTCATAATTTTACAGCGAGAAAGATCATTCACAATTAGACCGTCACAGTTTGCCTTTGATTGCCTGACTGGATCACCTGACCACCCTACTATTAATTCCTAAGTCACTCAGTGCTGAGTTGTCTGACCTTAAAGGTGTGGTTCACTCGTTTAATCAATGCATTTGTAGTGGTTTCTAGTAGGATTCAATGCCTTGTAAGTTGTACTCTGGGTACAAAAAGCGCTGGTGCACCTACTTCAGGATCTAGAAAATTGCCAGAGCAGAGGAGAGCTTCAGACGGCAATGTGAACGTGCCAGTGACTCATTTTGCTCTGCAACATTGATGTTTTATCTCCACAAACAACACAAGCCTGGAGGAGTTCTGCTGTGTGGTGGAGTTGATGATGCTAATGGGGTTGTCTGTGGTGTGTTACTGAATATAACACAACTTCACCACAAGATGGAAGAAAAAGTCATTAAACCGGCAGAACGGAGGCCTGAAGCCCGACCCTTTCACCGGCTCAAAGAGAGTGAAATCTACGCGGCCGCGTTGGTATTAGACGGACAAAACTCGTGTTTTACTCCGCCTGAAGGCCACGTAGTAAAATGTCGATTCCACACACTGGAGTGATTTACAGAACCGAAGTGATTTACAAGAACCACCGCCAAAATCCAAAGAGGATTTTAGGATGCAGAAGCACTGCGAGAGAACGGTTTAACTGCTTATCGGGGCGCGTAGCCCGAGCGTTAACCTATTTAGCTACTTAGCTCTTCGGCTAAGCTTGGTAGTGTCTGGTGCGACCAGACTGAAATTTGCCCGATTAACCAAACGTTCCTTAGCAACGAGGTAATTTGGGACTTTATTGACTGCACTCTGGTGTGCAGATGTGGTCTGCGGTCTCTAACCACTGCTTAAAGCTGATAATATTAGCGAGGTATGCTAACTATTATGCTAGCGCGGTTACCAGAAAATAAACAACGCGGGGATCAGCATATCAACTGTTAAAGATTGTCCCACAAAGTTGCCAATGTTGATTGCTATTTCCTGTTTGTCAATTTCAAAATCATTAGTTTAATTTGAAGAATTAAAACTTTTAATTGTCAAACTTGTTTCTTCATTGAATTGAAACACAGACCCACGGATATTATCGACAGTTTATCGATGAAAACAACCTTTGAGTCTTCTTAAAACTATACAATTTGGTTATTAATTTAATAAAATTAATATCACAAATTATCATGTAGAATGGTTCCTCTTTCATAAAAGAGCATAAACCACAACGCTACAGTTTGACCAGCCAGCCAGTTCTACAGTTTGGCGAGCCTATCCAGACTCTATATCTGCGATATATCCACTTAAAAAAGTCTGCCCTGTTCACCGTTCTCTTGAGCCACAACAGAAAAGAGAACAAGTCCAAACAGACTCCGCCATCAAAATGGCCACCATCAGAAAAATATTCAGGTCCATTACTGATGTGCTTTTACTTCTCAAACCACCGATGTTGGGTTAGATGAGACAAAAGCAAAAATCCAGAGCAGAACCAGAAGCAGTGTTTTATTTAGCTGATGACATTCCAGCTGATGCACCACCACCAAGTATCGTTGGAGGCTTAAATATTTTGGTTTTTCGCTCTTTTTCTGGCTGCAGATAGATGAATAGAATAGAAAATCCCTTTATTGTTCCTCAGTGGGGAAAGCTAGACGTCACAGCAGCGATGACACTTACTACAGGAGAAAAAAGGAGAATGAAAAAAAAAGAATAAACAACAAGAAAACGTAAATCCTGAATAGATTTAAAAAATGCTGAATATACCACAAGTAATGAATACCACTGATGCGTTTATTTAAAATGGACTTGCTCGTGCGAAATTTGGTTATTCCAAATTCATAATGCAAAAATAAGTTTGTTTCCAAATTAAAATGTTCAAAATTGCATGTATGTTGATAAAATGTGCAAATTTGCCGTCACTTTTTCAAAAAATATTAAGTTCGGCCCACGACTTCGTCCCAGATTTTCAATTCGGCTCTGTGTGAATTTGAGTTTCACACCCCTGGTTTAAAGGAAAATTTTCTGCTGCTGCAAAAGAAACAATATTGTAACCCCAAAGAACCTGTGGTGAGACCGGTGACTCAGCCCATTTCAAGCAGCTGCAAAATTGCATCTTGAATCTTAAATTTCAAGTTTGATCACCCCAAGTAACATCCTAAATACATACATATCTCAAAAAATATTTTACTCCTTGGATTTATTATTTTTTTCAGCACTTGCTGTATTTATTAGTTGTTTAGTCCCATCTGCAGCTTTTTGATTTAGACAAAGACTCTAACATTTATATCTGAGAATCAGAATTATTTTATTTTCTTTGATTATTTTTTTCAAAGGTTGCTTTTTTGGCAAATCGTGCAAAAAGTGTAATGAGCAAATGCATGTAGGCAGGGCTGCCAACTCTCACACACTGAGCGTGAGACACAAGCATTTGACCCTCTTCACATGCCACACCTCCATTCTCCCACGCTAAACCAGTGCCTGCGCTCCCCAAACATACATAACACACAGTGTGTAAGGCTTATGAAAATAACAAGATTATATTAATTATAGCATTAGCTACTGAACAACATGTACACAAACAACACTTAAGTAATAATTGAACTGGCGTTACTTCACACACATAATCCCATCTGTATAATCCAAGCCGATTACATTAATTATAATTAAAAGTTCAGAATTTCCTGTCAGAAATCTGAGAAAAAAGTAAGAAGTCTCTTTCTTTTCTTTTCTTTCTAACCCTCCTCTGTACAGAGTAGAAATAAATAAAAAAAATGTAGAGCACAAAAAGTCTCAATATTAATACCCCCCACCCCCACCCCACCCCAGTGGCGTGTCCAGATCTTTTAAAATGGGGTGGCCCAGGTGAGGCACAGCTTTGTGCATGGGTGGCACCAATGGTTATTCTTTTTTGTTTTACCCCCGAGCCTTTTGTGGACAATGAAAAGCCTATTTAAAAGTAAATTAGTGTGGTGGCACCAGGGGTGGCCAATCAGATTCCAAGGGTGGCATGTACTACCCCAGGCCACTCCCTGGACCCCCCCCCCCCCCCCCCCGCTCTAAACGGTCAGCGAATTGTCCGCTCCCAACCCCATGACCCCGTCTCACTCTTTGAAATGTTCAAAGGTTGGCAGCCTTGTACTGGAGTGGATCCAGGCAGCTATTTACAAATGTCAGCGATACGGAAATCCTCCTTGTTAATACGTGGAACTTGTCCAGGCTTTCATTTCCGAGGCAGACACCTGCCACGTCCGCTAAGTTTAGGGGGAAATATGGAGCCCACAAGACAAACAAGCTCACAATGATGCTGGTAACCAGTCGAGTCGTCTGTGGATGGTTGAAAAAGACTGCCTGGTTCACTGTCCTCTTGAGCCAAAGGTACAAAAACACCACAACAGAAAAGGAATCAAATCCAAACACGTTTTGGGCAACAGAAAAATATTTAGGCTTGCTTTCTCTCCATTGCTGATGTGTTTTGACGTCTTGAGTCTCCATAACTGGGATGGACAGGACAAAGGCAACCAGCCAGAGCAGAGCCAACAGCAGTCTCAGTTGTTTCTTTTGTACACTCAGCTGGCGCACAACCACAAGGTCGCGGGGAATGCTTAACCCAGTCCCAGTCAGCAGGCTGCTGTACATAGTGCAGTACCCAACGTATGCTAGAAGCTTACAGGCGACCACACCAAAGATCTCTTCATAGAAGTTAGCATAAATCCATATAGGGTCAGCGGGCAGAGCACGTCGGAGACGGGCAGATTCAGCAGCAAACTCTGGGTCAGACTGGACATGCACTGCCAGTTTGGTCTGAGGACAATTACAGCAATGTTTCCAGAAACTCCAAGAACAAAGATGAATGACATCATCACTGCAGGAACTGGACCTCTGGAGCACCAGTGGAGATGAGGTGGAAGTCGTGGAGGAGAGGTGAAGTTAGAAGGTTCCATTGTGGCGTTTGACTGATCCATGTTGTGTCTTGTTGGTGAAGTTGTGCATCGAGCCACTGGTGTTGAAATTATAATTAGCTCATGAGATGTTATCTCCTCAGCACTCAAACCGTTGCCTATAAGGGAAATCGTGATGCTGCTTATTGAAGTGAATATTTTTACCAGGCTGTTGCTACAAATTCTGCTAAAATAACCTACGTATCATGTCGACGTGTTTTGCAGCTTTAAAGACAGCTACATTGGGAAAAAAAAGAATGTCACAGTTTATGCCATAATTTGCAGTGTAGTATCAAAAGATAAACATTTCATAAAGGCAGTTTGATATTTCTGGTTCACTGAATTTCATGGACTCCATTTTTTCTGCATTATTGTTGAGGGTTGTACGGAACTGTTGAGCAATGGTCGTCTCACACAAAAATTTCTCATCAGTTTTGATGCAATAAATATTCTGAACAGAGTTTTATATGATTGTTCCAGTCCGTGACGAAAAGAAACCTTCAAGTTCATGTTCAAGTGATCAGGAGAAGCTGTTTGCTTGTCGTACACCAGAATAGGACCAGGAAACCACCAAAGCTGCAGCTTTAAAATAGATTCTTAGCTAACCCAACACATGTGACGCTCACAGAGAGGGACCAGAATGTCTTTGCACTAAACAGACAAGTCGAGCTA